TAGCATTGTCCATTATTATGCAGTGCTCTGTAAGATGAAAGACTATTTTTTTTATATGTGCCATTTTATTGACATCCAATAAAGGGAATAGAGGATGGTGTTGCATGGCAGATTTTTGACTTGCCTGTTAGCAGCATTTCTGTTGGATTTTGTACCAACTGCAGGCAATGCATCAACTTTTCTGGGAGATGTCAGCTATAGGAGTATGTGAAATGTTCTCTGTGTTTGATTTAAAACATTTAACATCAGTCTCTGTTGCATATCTCATCTCTTCAGAGCATTCGTGGCTGAAGGCACTTGTTATTACATCTTTCCACACCTTTTTCATTGGCAGCTTGGCGTGTGAGGGAGCAGTGGAAATGCCATGTGATTAGTCCCTATGTCTTGCTCATCCAGACCACAAACAAGGGGTTATTTCCAACAAGTATTGCAAACATTTTGCCCACTTTTCACATGCAATGAATGCACTATTGCTCACTAATAAGTACTGAAATTACACCATGTTCCAAATTATTATGCAAATGATATTTTTCTAATTTACCTAAATAATTGATGTAAATAACAGTCAGCATAATTCTCATGTTATCAACTATTAAGATTACAATTCAAATTTTATTGAACAAACCTCCTAATGATAACAGTATTTTTTTAAAACATAAAAAAACTTGCACGGTTCCAAATTATTACGCACAGTAAGTTTCAAAACACTTTGAAATAGGTTGTAAAGAACTGAAAATTGTCATTTGTTGTGTTTGCAGCATATTTACTGAAATCAAAAGCTATGTCAATCAAACTTATAACAACACTTAAACTTTTTAAACATTTTAACAGGTCACGTTACATTTTAACATAGGACCCCTTATTTAATAGCAGCTTCACAAGTCTTGCATCCATTGAACTTGAGAGTTTTTGGACAGTTTCTGCTTGAATTTGTTTGCAAGATGTCAGAATAGCCTCCCAGAGCTGCTGTTTGGATGTAAACTGCCTCCCACCCGCATAGATCTTTTGGCTGAGGATGCCCCAAAGGTTCTCAATAGGATTGAGGTCAGGGGAGGATGGAGGCCACACTATGACTTTCTCTCCTTTTATCCCCATAGAAGCCATTGATGCAGAGGTATTCTTTGCAGCATGAGATGGTGCATTGTCATGCGTGAACATGATTTTATTATGGAAAGCATAGTTCTTCCTTCTGTACCAGGGAAGAAAGTGGTCAGTCAGAAACTCCACATACTTTGCAGAGGTCATCTTTACACCTTTGGGGACCCTAAAGGGGCCAATCAACTCTCTTCCCATGATTCCGGCCCAAAACATGACTCCACCACCGCCTTGCTGACGTCGCAGCCTTGTTGGAACAGGGTGGCCATCCACCAACCATCCACTACTCCATCCATCTGGACCATCCAGGGTTGCACGGCCCTCATCAGTGAACAGGAATGTTTAGAAATTAGTCTTCATGTATTTTGCTGCCCAGTGCAGCCGTTTCTGCTTGTGAGCATTGGTTAGTGGTGGCCGAATAGAAGGTTTATGCACAGTTGCAAGACTCTGGAGGACTCTACACCTTGATGTCCGTGGGACTCCAGAGGCACCAGCAGCTTCAAATATCTGTTTGCTGCTATGTAATGGTATTTTAGCAGCTGCTCTCTTGATCCGATGCATGGATCTGACAGAAATCTTCCTTAATGTGCCTTTATCTGCACCAACCTGCCTGTGCTCTGAATCAGCCACAAATCTCTTAATAGTGCGATGATCACGCTTACGTTTTCATGAAATATCTAATGTTTTCATACCTCGTCCAAGGCATTGAACTATTTCACTCTGTTCTGCAGCAGAGAGATCCTTTTTCTTCCCCATATTTCATGAAAATGGTGCTCTGCTTAATAATGTGGAACAATCTCCTTTAGTAGTTTTTCCTTAAATTGGGCTCACCTGGCAATCTAATTATCAAAGGTGTCCGAGATTGTTTTCAGTGATCAAAAGAGCGGTGTCCGAGATTGTTTTCAGTGATCAAAAGAGCCCTGAGACACAATGCCATCCATGAGTTAAACTGAAAAACTAAATATTTAATCTTTGTGACACTTAAATAGAATTTGCATAATAATTTTGAACAGGGTGTAGATTGTAGGTATAAAGGAGTCACAAGGTGCAGAAACATTTAGTCCCTTTAGATATTCAGCCAACGATTATATATTACATTGCTTTTTCTCTAGTGAATTTGTAGTTTTTCATCTGAAGGCAGAAATGTTTCACCTAAAGATCTTATTTAACCAGCTCTGATTGAAAAGTGCATGGCTACTTTCTAAGCTGGACCATTTAAAAATGATATGAGATTTTTTTTTTTTGTCTATATAAGTTAGGCTCTATGCCCCCCATAATTCCCACAGCAGGCCATATTTAATACAGTAAATATGGAAAGATTCTGGTGCAAAGAGGTAAAATAGGGACACTACATAGAAATACCCTTTAAGCTGAAATATTGAAGATTAATTAAACAGTGAATTATTGTAAATTCAAACAATCTACAAGTAGCTAAACTGTGATTACATATGCATTGGAGATTTTTTTAGATGAATTGTTTTAGTTAAAATTTTGCAATTTTGTTTAGAGCTCACTACAATTTGCTGCTTAGTGAATACATTTTGTAATCTCTCCAAACAAAGTACGTTGCCTATAAATAACCTAATTATGGACAAACAAATGTAGTGTTGGCAATACAGTTTAGACCACAATATACCAAAAACATTTTGGGTTTTCAGACACATGCACTTAGTATCACAAGTTCCCTAACTGATTAGGTAGAATTTAAAGAGGTTACCATTTATCATTGAGTCCCTTTAGTCTAAGCTAAGCATTAGTAATGTGTTAAGATTAACAGGGTTATTTACTTAATTGAGAATTCAATTTCAAATTTAAGCTCAAAGTTTAGCTGGTTTTGAGAACTTTTCTAGTACAGCTATTTTGACCTTAACTTTGAATTAATATCAAATTCTCACTTTGATGCAGACCACTGCAAATAGTGACAAAACTCACTGATTTAGGCAAATACTTCCGTTTTACTTGCACACAGTTTCCTCATACCATAAACAATATATAAAAACATCCCTAATATGTCATAGATAAGAGGATGTTGCACACAAACATATTTCAATGTCAGTACATTGTATTGGCTGCACTGTAAATTAGCAGCTTATTAACACATAATTAGCATTTCAATTGCACATAGTTAACTAAAACATGAATGTTGGGAATTCAATTTGAATTTTAGCATTTAGGCAAAAACAGCTACATTCTAAAAATTCTCCAAGTCTTTGTAAATACTACTGGATTTTCTGACAATTCATAGTTTATTGAATAACACTGCTTTATTGAATGGCAAGCTTGATAGAAAGAAGAGGGTCTAGAATGCAGGCAGCATGAGTCTCCTAAATTTGCTGCCATACTTAGAAATGCTACTGAGGGGAAAAAAAAACACTATACTTTCGTTTTCAGAAATCCTACATGAAAAAGCTGGCCATTAACCCCTTAAGGACCAAACTTCTGGAATAAAAGGAATCATGACATGTCACACATGTCATGTGTCCTTAGGGGGTTAAAGACTGTGATAAAACATATGCACACTGTATTAAACAGTAAGAGATCTGTCTATCTAATATATCCCATCCAAAAAAAGTAAAAGAACATAAATTATATTGATAAAAATATCAAAACAAAAACAGATGGAATAAAAAAATAGCAGCAACATACATGCATGGGAAAATGTAGAATCCAATAACTGCACCAGTTTATAAAACTGATATAAAATATTGGTGGATTGATTTAGGAATTTAGTCAAACTACGATTAAAGTAATCCTAAAACAACAACATTTCTAAAGTTAGAATTTAATGACAATCAATCCATGTCTTTATTACATAGAATAAATCACTTTAGTAACACTTGTTTTTGTATTGTATAATACCACCATCTATCTAGTGTGATCAGTGGTGAATGCAAGATTAATTATCTGTGAGATCTTCTGTTTTTATATCAATATTCTATAAGATTCTATAAGATAGACTACGAAAAATGTCATATTCCCTAGGTGTATCTAGATTTTAAACTTTAAAAAAAGAGAATATTGTGAAAATCTTCTTTTGAGATAATATATTCTAAAACAATGTGTGTGTTGTTACTGGGGCTGAGACCACCTGTTACTTTGACATCGCCTTGGCAACAGTTAGAAATGTTCTACACAGCAGCCATAAAGAATTGCACTCAAGATACAACAATATAAAGTAAATAAGTTAAGTGATGTCTCACTTCACTTTGTGGCATTTTGAGTACAGATCATTGACACAGCATTGTGCATCTCGTCTGTTGTGTAGATGCATCAGAAGGAAACTAGGACTGCAATTTTGTGTAAAAGTAAATAGTTATTTGTTGATTGGTGTGTTCTTTAGATGGGAAAAAAATAATTATATGATACTTTTTTTCCCCCTTAAACATAGATTCTGTAATTCTGTAAGGCAGACACTATTTATGTCACAATTCCCAAGTCAGACTTGAGCTGTGTCTGTTGTAGTTTTTTTGCACTTAAATTCTTCACAAAGAATTGTATAGATCAAAAAATCTCTAAAATTGTAAGTTTGTGCAAAAAAAACTGATATACTCTTCACACTGCTTAAAAAGTATAGTTTGAGTGTTTACGGTGTGATAGCAAATGATGTGCAGCAATTGATTGTGCTTAAAAATATACATAGAGATATAAACGGTATATGTTTGCACTATATCTAACAGAATATTTTAATAAAAATTATTTAAAAACTGAATTGAAATATTAACTTTTTTTAACCTATTAAAATCTTGTGAATTAGTTTAATTAATGCAAAGCTTGTTATGAAAACAAATATGGGAAATATAACAAAATTTGAGTTATTACTAAAATAGATCGCTTATCGGTAAATACAGAAAAAGACACAAGATGCATTGATTCAGAAAATTATATACTTTATTTAATAATTAGCACAAGAATTGGTTTGTTCTTGATGTAAAATACATTCTAAAATAAACTCTGTCAAATATACAAAAAAAATACATTTCCATGAAATCAGTATTTGTAATAAATTAAAAGTGAACTTGTGTTTGTTCACATTGTCTGTTTAGTTTCCAGTCTGTTGACTTATTTTTAATCTCCTGAACGACTAGGCAGTCTTCTCATCCTTCCAAAGCTTAAATAATGTATGAAGGAGACATCCTCCCTTCTGATTTCTCTTTTCTTCACATTTCTTTTTCTTTTGATATGTTTTTCAGCCTTAATTTCCAAGCTTGCATTGAGTCAGTACAAAGCTAACAAATTATACAATGACTTCTAACCTGATTCTTACTGAACACGTTTTTTGTTTTTTTTCTTCATATTAATCATAGAAGACAGATGGAAGTGGAGAGAAAGAATGGAAGCACACAAAGGTATTGTGACTTATCTGGGAAAGTGAACAAAGTGCATATCAGAAAGTTTGGTTTGACAGTTGACATTCCCACAGCATCCAACAATCACTGGGAAGGAAGCAGATGTCCTATATTTAAATTTGTGCACTCAGACCCAAATCAAACATGTATATTACATCTGACAACATCACTTACTAGCTGCTCTTCCTCGATCCCTGTCCTGTAAGATCACCCACATAAGCTAAGAAGCCACCATACTACATTCTCTCTGATAAATATTCTCAATCTCTAGCCCTGATCACTACACCTGATACATGATGCCATATCACACAATATACGTCACTAGCCCCACATGCTGATGAGTAGATTCTGAGACCCACTTTGTGGTGGAATGCTATAAAGACATTATTCCACATTTCAAGTAAACCCCAAGTTACATTGACAAGGCAGCCCATCTACCACTGGTACAGATGACCCTGCAGTAATAGTTTCGGTCTCTCCTTCCTCAGAAAGATAAAGTCACTGTATACGGGCATACAGGTCCTACAGCCTGGGTTTATGACATGAGAGAGTCCAGCTCACATGAAACCCCCTGACATAATGAGGTGATGATGCTGGCTGCGCTCCAGGTGGAGGTGATGGTTAGAAGACTGCCAGTACTCCATGATGTCCGATGAGGAGCTGGCTGGGCTACAGGGGGACAAGGTATCACAGGATGAAGCTGGGGAGGAGGTGCAGCTCCATGATGATGCAGAGGGGCTGGCTGGAGAGAGGGGCTCGCGGTTGAGGAGTGGAGCTGGGGGTTGTGACCCCACTTGCAGCTGGTCTGCCATGCGCAGGGTCTCAGAGAGTGCCCAGATGTAGTTGTGGGCAAAGCGCAGGGTCTCTATCTTAGTGAGCTTGGCATCCTCGGGGAAGGCGGGCAGCACCTCCCGGAGGGAGTCCAGGGCAGAGTTCAAGTTGTGCATGCGGTTCCTCTCTCGGTTATTGGCTTTCACCCGCCGGGTCTTTTTGATGATGGTGACCTGTTCTCCGTTTTTGTTGGTGGTCTTGGCTCTGCTTCGTCTTGATTTCTTGCTGCCCGGAGTGTTTCCATCCCCCTGCCCCGGCTGGAGGACCAGGAGCTCATCGTCAGAGCTGCAGGTCTGGGGGGAAAGACTGGAGGAAGATCCCGAGCAGTCTGAGCCAGGTGACAGCAAGTCCTCCTCCTCTCTGTATTCACTTTTCACCATCCTGGAAGATAGAAGAAGACACATTAACATACAGATAACTATGACCAGCCAACACTATAAAAATCCTACACTGATCATCATTTTAAAGCCGTGTGTTGGAGCTTTCCACATATAGCTATTCTCATCAATCAGACACAACGCGCAGTGTGAACAGACCGCTATTCTGGGGCAACGTTCTAAAAGTGGCGCAGTCCCTATGGCAACCCATGGAATTTCTCTGCTTTCCGCCAGCCTTAGCACCTTATCCCCGAGTGAGTCATACTTTTCCAGAAAACTCAGAGCAGGCTATTTTCTTCAAATTCAGTTATTGATGTTTGTGAAAGTAAGGCTAACGATGCCCAGTACTTACTTGCTGAGTTGGAGGGTGTCAGGTAATCCCAGTGTCTCCAAGGATGACCGTGGGCTGCTGTGCTGGATGCCCAGTGTGGTTGCTCCTGGCACAGTATTTTGGGTGGGGGTGTGCCCTGGCACGCGTCCTGCTGTCCAGCCCAAGTGAAGCTGCTTGTGGATCAGTGGCTGTGCGTCTGGCACACGACCCTCCTAAAACCCCTTATATACCCTTCCCGGAACAATCAAACCTACCCCGGGGCACAGCACCCCTCCCCAGGTTATGCTTTTCATTATCATCATTTTATTTCCCCCACCCCTCCCAATCCTGCTGTCTGTTGTCATTGCTGCCACTCCTCCCATGGCTGGCTGGCGCTCCCTGCATTGTGATTGGTGAATCCCGCTCGGCTGAAGCGTGCCGCTAATTTTATTAATGGATGAGGGGGGGGGGAATGTTAGTAGCCAATCCCAGGGCTCGGGCCAGGGGGCCACCTAGCCACGCGCGCCGGGGCCTGCTGCCCTTTCAGCAGCTGATGAGGCGGGAAGAGAGGGAGGAGGCAGGTGGATGGGGGGAGAGGCTGGGTAATAGCCTGCACTGGCTGCCATACACTGAGTACTGAGTACCACAATAACCTGGGCAGCCCCAGAGACACAAAGTGTAATAACAGCCCGGGATACAATATTAGCACTTATTATATACTTAGATATTCCGTTTAGAACACTGAGTCTGCACAGCTATTGCATCAATGCTCAGATTAAATATCATAAACCACAATCTGATTCATTAACTAGACGAGACTGCAGTAAGCAGCAAAGAATCAGAGGAACATCTGTCTGTCTGTCTATCTAATGTTATCTATCTATCTATCTATCTATCTATCTATCTATCTATCTATCTATCTAATGTTATCTCTCTCTCTAATGTTATCTCTCTATCTATCTAATGTTATCTATCTATCTAATGTTATCTATCTATCTATCTATCTCTGTTATCGGTCTATCTATCTATCTATCTATCTATCTCTCTAATGTTATCTCTCTCTCTCTCTATCTATCTATCTAATGTTATCTCTCTCTCATGTTATCTATCTATCTATATATCTCTCTAATGTTATCTATCTATCTATCTCTCTAATGTTATCTATCGATCTATCTATCTATGTATCTATCTCTCTAATGTTATCTATCTATCTATCTATCTATGTATCTATCTATGTATCTATCTCTCTAATGTTATCTATCTATATATCTATCTATGTATCTATCTCTCTAATGTTATCTATCTATCTATCTATCTATGTATCTATGTATCTATCTCTCTAATGTTATCTATCTATCTATCTATCTATCTATCTATCTATCTATGTATCTATCTCTCTAATGTTATCTATCTATCTATCTATCTATCTATCTATCTATCTATCTATCTACCTATCTACCTATCTATCTATCTACCTATCTACCTACCTACCTACCTAGTCACCTCTCTCTTTACCCGTGCCATTATACAACACATGGGTTAAAGGAATTAAAAGAGACACAAGATAGAGAAATGTTTCTGTTTTGAACATTTTTATTTTGCTTGATATTAGGAATAACATAGGATCTCCCTCTTTTGGTCACTCTAAATAGCTAAATAGTGTTGGCTGTTTTTTCTTTTAACAGATATTTAACGCGTACTCAATTTACATTTGTAGTATTTCCCCTTAGTGCCCCCTTCCCCCCCAGATAATGGATAAAAAGACTGCTAGTTTGCCAAGTTTTTAGATCGCTACAGTTTCTCTCCACCCTGTATCACCCTGTATCTGTGCTGTCTACTGTTTGAGAATAGAAATTGAGAAAATCTATTTTTGATTTTATGTCTCATGTCCGTTTAGAAATCTGTCAAGGCACCAAATACAGGTAAAGGTAAAATATGACAATATATAGATCATGCTTACAGCATAGTGTTATAAACTCTGACACATTTCTATATAAACACTATGTGGACACTGCCAGAGTCCATATCCTGGGTAACCCAGGCTCTCCAAAAGATGCTGCAGTCTGGAGTTGAGAGAGCAAGTTGCTGGCTGAGTTATTTAGGTCAGCAGGCCACGGTTGCTACAAACGTCAGTCATTTGTATGTATCTATTAGAGCTGAAGTGAGTGGGTGCACAGTTAAGTATAACATTTGGACGCCCATCCATTTATTGAGTTGTAGTGATTTCTTTAGCTATGCATAGGCATAAAGTTCTGAAGAGTATTTTACATTTAACAAAACAAATACAAATGTTGCCTTTTATCATCATATTTAAGAGTCATAGTATAGTTTCAAGACTTAACCGTTTGTCATTTCTACTAAGAGCAGACAACATCCATTTTTATATTGTAATTTGATTCATGGCCCTTATCTTAACCCATTAGTGATCAAGACTTTGCCTAAATACTGTGCATTTGGGACCAAAGCTGTTTTGACACTTTTGCTTTGTGCTTGTTGCACCATAATTTAACGACTCTCTTAAAGTGCACTCATGCGTACTATTAACCCCTTAGGCACAGAGGAAATTGTACAAGTTATGACCAAAACAAGACCTAGAATTTGAGTTATATGTCTCTTCAATCACAATTTACCTCTTTTTGTATTTATATTAAGTGCACCCACACTTATGCTATATAATTTTGTTCAGGAGAAATACAGTTTTCATCTCACATCAAATATTTATATATGGAACACAATTTAATTTAAAAACAATCTAAAAAAAAGTTTGAGAAATAAAGAAATGTTTTTATTTTCCAACTTCAGGATGGTATTTTAACTTTGAATGTCATTACTGTTAACTTTTACTACAATAAAACCCACGTTGTATGCTGTGTTGTCCCATGGGTACAATGATGCCTCCCTGTACAGGTTTCATGATGTTTTGGAAAGTTACAGGGTCAAAGAGCTTGTCCATTTCAGTTTTTACATATTGAGATTTCCCAAACTGGTTTACTGGGCATACGTATGGTATGCATTGGTATGAATGGGCATGTGACGGAACGCTGGCACTCCGACCGAGTATCTCCGCCAATCGATGCTCCTAGCGCTTGCCGAGGACTCAGAGCACTCCAACCGACACCATCAGCACTGCAGACCCCACTTCCAGCGATGCAGCTGCGCCTGGGTCTCGCCGTCTCTCACCCACCCTGGATCCATGACCAGGATCCAGCTCCCAGTGGGTGAACCTCTCCTAAATCCAGAGAGCGTAGCAGGAACAAATCAAGCTCTTACAAGAGCTTACTCTGGGGAGTAAGTGATTATAGCAATCCCCAGAGTGTAGGTATCCCTTCCCCCAAGCATGAGCCAAGGCTTCAAGAAAGGTGCAAGTAGGTCTGGTTTATTGAGGGCTACCTGCCCGGTATTTATGCAAGTGTCCACCAGGTGGACACTCCCCTAGGGGACCTGATGGAACCATGGGACACATATTGGATATTAGCTAATCACAGACAATACAAACAAATCACTCCCACAGTGACATCACAATCCCTCCTCTCTATCCTGGAGATAATTTGGAAGTAATTAAATTATCTCCCAGGACAGAGGCAAGACTCCATTAACCACATGGTTACAAAAAGATATAAAATTACACAATGTTACAATTATTACATAAAACATATACATGCAACATATCCCAAGATAGCTTAGATCTGAGGGCACATTATTACCGAATGGCGCTCAGATCACATACATACAGTTCAATCGCCATGGAGCCAAAGTCTTTTCCATAGTCTTTCGTTACATAAATAGGCTCCATGGCATAGCTATCTGGGGTAGCACTACTCACATACTAAAAGTCCTGAACGCCCCGGCAGAAATACGCAAACAAACCTTTCTGCAGGGTAAAATACAGCTATCAGCACAGGGGCCATAGTTGGAAGGCAGGAGGCTAGCCAGTAGTCCCCTCCAGGCACAATTGGCGAAGGGCACTTCATCACAGGGCATACGTATGGTATGCAGTAGTATGAATGGACATACTTGAAAATGAGAAAAATCTCAATGTAGCCCTCCTACCTAAAATATTTTTATAAATAATGCATAAATAAGGGTTGCCTTTGAGACTGTATGACAGCCGAAAATTACCCCATCATGTCCAGTCTTTTTAGGAGTCACTTAGTCACAAATACTGGCCATAGTTGGTGTTCATATTTGTTTTTTGCATTTTTCACAAAAAAACTGTCCTTCCACCGATGATATTGTTGTCATTATATGTTTTACAGTACTAAAACATTCATATTTGTTTTTAGAGATGTCTAACATGTACAACAATACCCCCACTGGACCCCAGGTAAAAAAAATCCACCCAGCTCTCCCAAAGGTAGGGAGGCTGGGTGGATTTCAATAAAATAATAATAATAATAATAATAATAATCTGTGAGTGTTGGGTGGAGGAGGGGGGAAGTGTGTGTGTCTGTGAGTGTGTCTGTCAGTGAATGTGTGTATATCTGTGAGTGAGTGTATGTCAGTGAGTGTCTGAGTGATTGTGTGTGTCTGTGAGTGAGTCAGTGTGTGTGTGTGCGTATGTCTGTCAGTGTGTGTCTGTGAGGGAGCCTGTGTGTCTGAGTGACCGTCAGTGTGTGTCAGTGAGTGTGTCTGAATAATTGTGTGTTTGTGAGTGAGTGTGTGTGTGTCTGTCAGTGAATGCGTGTCTGTATGTGTGTGTGTCTGAGTGATTGTGTATGCCTGTCAATGTGTGTGTGTCTGTGGGTGCGTGTGTGTCTGTCAGTGAATGTGTGTGTATCTGCGTCATTGTGTGTGTATGTCAGTGTATGTCTGTGAGTGAGTCAGTGATTGTGTGTGTCTGTCAGATTGTGTCAAATCAGTGAGTGTGTGTGTATGTCAGTGTATCTGAGAGTGTGTTTCTGTCAGTCAAAGTGTGTGTTAGTCTTTACCAGGAAGAGGTGTGACCTTGACAGGAAGGGGTGGGACAAATGTAAATTAGGGGGTGCCTGAGTTCCGTCATGCCTAGGGCAGCACAGATCCAAAATACACCACTGTATATACACTAAACAAAATTATAAGCGCAACACTGTTGTTTTTGCCCCATTTTTCATGAGCTTCCCATTTTAGAGTGACATTTTATTACGGCCAGCCTAAGGCACACCTGTGCAATAATCATGCTGTCTAATCAGCATCTTGATATGCCACACCTGTCAGGTGGATGTATTAT